TTTTGAAATAAAGTTGATCATTTCGTCAAGACATATGTTTTGCTTCTCCAGAGCAACCCCGTAAGCATGCAAACCAGAATGATTACCGAATTTCGATTGGCTATTAAGTATGTCGAACCAATTATTAATCAACTTAAACATATCTGCCATTGCCTGCCAGTTATCCTTTGACAAGTATCCTTTTTGTCCGCAATACTCTAGAGCCTTTGCATTACGGAGCGAAAATATCTGTGCAGCTAGTTTTACTCGTTGCCTTTGAAATCTCTTGACGTCGAAGTGAGTTCTGGTTAAATTGAATGCAATTTTTAATTCATTATAATTGAGATGCAATAATTCTTCTAGAAGGCATTTGTTGAAATGTTGACCATCGACATCAAATTCAAAATCAAGGAAATAATTTCTTAACAATTTTATTAGGTGAGGAACATAGGCAAACACGTATATTTTAGATGACTTGTCGGTTGGATGTATAAAGAAGCATTGTTTTTTAGTGCAATTTTTTTTCCTTCTGTCTCAATGCTTATATTTAGGCTTTTTTGTAATGTCATGTTAGTGGAACCCATATCAAATGTCGTGGCTACTACTGTATAAACACTTTTGTGTAGTTTGTCGATTATTTCTAATAAAATCTCTTTTGTCATAGGTTGTGAATATTCGTAATACAATATATATAGGATGCTTCCATTTACAAAATAGACCACGAGTTATCATGACACGTCTTATGAGGTCCGTATATTTTTTGTTCTCGGCATTCCAAATCGACTTTGTTTGCTATATAAATCTCATTGAACGTCAAGATCATTAGTTTCTGGGGAGTTGATAAATTTTGCCCTTGCAACTCCATAATATGCAACACATCATTAAGAATGCCAGGTTTGATTGTACAGTTGGCAACCCATTGTTTCAGCGTTGCGATGCATGGTAACGGAATTTTTTGGACTTTCCGTAAATAAACGTACGCTTTTGAGCTTACAAATCGAAGAGCAACGGGCGATCTGATATCTTTGATTGTCCAAGCNATTCGACGATTTATTGGAGACATAAGTTTTTTCACTTGTCCGGATGTAAATATTCTGCGAAGAATGTCAGTTGCAATCTTTTCGCCATGTTTCTGTGCGTTTTTCTTCATGCAATCCATTGCCGTGCACTTTTGATGTAATTAAACTTTTAATTCGGCATTTTCTTTTTCTATTTCTCTTAGGTGCGCCAAAACCATGCTATATTTGGGTTGACCTTCAGGTAAGTCTGATGCACATACAGCTTCTTTGCTGCATGTGACGAGTTCAGCATAAAGTGGAACGCCAGTACTGTAAATATTATATAGAATACATTAGTAAAATAAAATAAAATTTATTAACAAAATAACGACAAAACAGTTATATTGTAAAGACAAAGAAGAATACCTTATTGTGAAGCCTTTCTCTTGTATATGTTTTTCCACTAAACTTGTGGACAGATTGGCAGATTCTGGGTTTGTACATTCGATATATTTGGCGACGATTGCTGCGCCAGTCAATTCCATGTTTTCCCTTTGTGTATTGTTTTCCACTAAACTTGCTTGAACTTCAGTCAAGTCTGATGCACATACAGCTTCCTTGCTGCATGTGACAAGTTCAGCATAAGTTAAAACGCCAGTACTATAAATGTTATATAGAATACATTAGTAAAATAAAATAAACTTTATTAACAAAATAATGACAAATCAGCTATATTGTAATAACAAATAAATATCGTATAAGAATTATATTTTTCTTCATTTCAATAATCTTGCATTATGAATGACACATTAAGTAAATGATTTATTACTCTTACCGAATTAATTTTTCTGGTGACTCATTGGCACAAGACCGTGGAAACGAATATAATCGTTTCTTTCGTTTACTCGGTAAGTCCAGAAACTCAGTTGGCACGGATCTCTTTTTAAGTCTACAAATTATACGTGCTTGGATTTTGTTTGACTGTGGCTTTGTCAGTTGCCTATATATCTATACAGTCTGCTTTAAAATGCAATTTGCATACTCGTTCTGCAAATAAAGTATTTTTACAATTGTTCCGAGAAATACACTAATGACATGTATAATTTTAAATTGTAATATGTACCATATTTAATTTAATAATTGTCATCTTTGCGACAAGCTTCAAGCCATATTCGACGCAAATCAGTATCTTTTGGGAATGTGTAGAACATTATATTGTCGCTGAATGCACAAGAAGTGCGATTGCTACAATTTTTAATGCAACAGCTCGGCATGCTGCCTAAAACGATGTAACAATATACACTTGTATATGCAGCACAAACATTATACATAGGTTATAAAAACATGCCGTCAACCATACTGAGTTTTATAGTTACATAGTTTTATTCATATATTGTGTTAATATATTCTTCTTTCTTCTTTCTTTTTTCTTTTTTTTCTGCTACTTTTTATACTGTTGTTATTTATAATCACCTGTGAACGTTTATATTCCGCGTACATAAAATGGGACTCCTATGATTGGTTGACAAGCATGTTCCCTACCCCTTTGCCGCCATTATGCGCAATAACTCACCTTATGTACTTTCACCATGCTAAGCATTATATTGCTAGCGCATATACACATACTTTCTAAGAAAATACTCTGAGTGACATTTTGTGCATAAAATAAACATCTTTTTTGGAAAATTGTTGTTGGAGATTCGTACACCACAACATACAGAAGCATCAAAAAGCACGGTAGTGCCTCACGCCAAGTTCACGCGCAACGAAGTGGCGCACGCACTTATTTTATACGCGAAATTCAGGTAATAAAAGAGAGCGGAGATTTTCACAAACCACTATTTTAATACCGACTGAACAGATCAATTTTGCATTAGTCTTAATCAAGATTCAGAATGAAACGTTAAAAAAAAAAAACGTATTGTTGCGTTTTTTTTATCTGTGGCGTCGGAACGGAGATAATGGAAAATAAACAAAAAAATGTGTGAAATTTACAATCAGAAACGTCATTATGGTTGTCATGGTGTGACCAAATACAAAATAAATAAATACGTACGCACCTAGTTTGACTAGTCAACAAAGACCGCTCAATGCACGCCGGCAAGAACACGAATTACAACAAAAGATGACATAGACAAGCTAAACGAAATATGATGTCTATGTATCAAAGTCTACCGAAAAATAAATTAAGAAAAAATAATATGTGAATATAAGGTAGGTAGCAAGTAAAATACAAATTTTAATAATAGAAGAGTATAGTACGCTACAAAAAATTCTCATAAGAACAGAAAAAGTATTATGGCCATTTGAAGCAAAAAACACTGGTGATAATGTGTGTGTGATAACAGCATTACTTTATTCAAGCAGGTAATATATAATATAGAACGTTTTCGGTCTTAGATTAGACCTTTATCAATATATATCTACAAAAATAAATTAATTGTTAGATTCGCAAAATTTATAAAATTACAACTTACAAACAAGGTAGATGGAATTTGTCACTTGATTACGCACATAAAAATGTTGTTCTTGAATTAACACCTTATCGAGTCACATGATTAAAAATTAGAAATATAAAAGTAACTGAGAACCGACAGAAGTGTGCAGCGGTTTATATATAAGTCAAAGCCGTTATCAACGCTCAAGCGACATTAATATGTATTATCAACAAAAGGTAAGTATGATCTGTCAAGATTTTCAGTGTCGCTATGTAGGTTAAGTCCATGGCTTTGGTTTCGTATATATAGAGTTTTTGATATCAAGCGTTTAACGTAAGATCTTTCATTGTCTAAAAGTTTTACATTGTCCCAATCAAAATCATGAGAGCATTGAATCCTGTGATCTGTAATAACCGATCCTTGAGAAGAATTTCTTCTAATATGATTTTTATGTTCAATAATTCTTAGATGTAACATTCTTCTAGTCTGTCCAACGTATGAAGCATCACAGTTCAAGCAATTAATTTTATACACTACGGAAGGTCGCTTGGATATTGGAAGAGGATCTTTTATAAATTTAATAAATCTGGACAATTTGTCAATACTATAAAAGGCAAAGTGAGTGTTAGTCTCTTTCAGAAAAATATTAACAAATTTGTTAGAAAAGTTATTAATATAAGGCATCACAAACCAACGTACAGGAATTTCATTTGAAGAATTGTTCGACAAAAATCTTCTTATGTCATTATTATTAAAAAAATTGTATTTCAGTCTTTGTTTAAAAATATCAAAAATGAAGTCATATGGATAATTGTTATTAATTAAAATGTTAAAAATTAAGTCAAAGTTCTTGGCATGAAATTGTGGGTGAGATAAAAAGAAGCCCCTGTCGACAAGACTAATAATAGTGCCTCTTTTTTGGCAGATAGGATGGTTGGAGAAGAAATTCAAGTATTTGCCTGAGAATGTCGGTTTGTGGTACCAGTCGTGAATAAGTCTATTGTTATATTTTATAATTGTAATGTCCAGAAAATTAAGTCTATCAAAACCAATCTCCATGGTGAATTGCAAACGTGGGTGATATGAATTATAAAAATCTCTAAAACATCACCAAAATGGTGTGATGGAACCATAAGAGCTATGTCATCTACATATCTAACATGTAGAGGTGGGATAAAAGATAAAAAACTAATGGTAAACGATTCTAGATCCTGCATGACTATATCTGCTAGAATCGGTGAGAGAGGAGATCCCATGGGAGCGCCAAAGGTCTGTTTGTATATTTTATCGTTGAAAAGAAAAAATGTTGAGTTAAAAACAAAATTGATGGCCGTAAAGAATTCTTCTTTGGATAGAGTGGTGTTGGGCTTAATCAATTGCCATCTCTTTTCAAGACCCTTGATAGCAAGATCCAGAGGAATGTTAGTAAATAATGATATGACATCAAGAGATATCAATTCAAAAGATTGGTCGAAAGTCAGATTATCTCCTAGAGATACGGCTCGCGAGATGGAAGCTATTGAGAACACATGTGAGTGGAGATTCAAGATTTTTGGAAATAATATTGTGTAAAAATATAGCCAAATTGTGTAGAGGACTGTTGGTTGAAGAAATAATGATTCTGAAAGGGTTACCAGGTTTGTGGATTTTAGGAACTCCATAGGCTCTAGGAAGAATAGTGTGTGATACGTTTAAATGCTTGTAAGTGGATTCTGTGATGTATTCACGCGTTTTCCATCTTTTTAACATATCTTTTAAAGACGTAATGATGGAATTCACAGGATTCTTTTTAACAATAGAATATGTGTTGATATCAGAAAGTAAAAGTTCAATTTGAGTAATGTAATTATCTCTATCCAATGCGACTACAGAATTACCCTTATCAGCTCTAGTAAACACGATGGAAGGATGACTCTTGGTAAACTGTTGACTGATTTTGAGAGCTTGTTTAATATCATCATCATAATGTGATTTGGTAAATTGAGAAACTTTCATTTGTTTAAGAACTGATACAAATCTATTACGACACTCAATTTTATTATTATTGTTTAAGTGTATAATGTTATTTTCAAAGTTTTTAATCAATTCAAATGTCAATTTTTGATTGTTGTCAGGTGGAAGACAAAAGTTTTCACCCAACTGTAATAAACCTGTGACTGCAGTAGGAATGTTAAAATTGGTGAGATTGAAAAACCAGTTATATTTCTAGATTCTAATAATGTTATTTTTTTATGTATATTGAACG